GGTTTTATCTCTCCAAGACCTAGTTGCAAATAAACTGAATAAGGCATTAAATTCACACTTGCTCCTAAATCCAAAAGAGCTTGACCGAACTCTTGTGACCCAATTTGGCAAGCAATTGTTGGGCACCTTGGATCTTTGTACTTTGGTGGTGTTTGTTGCTCAATTACCACACTTACCTACTCTATCAAGAATGCAGTTTTCTTGACATGGTGTTTCCTTTTCATGGTGCATAGATCCTTGATCACTTTGGCATAAGTTGGTACCTATTTAATCACATGCAACAAAGGTAGATTAATCTTAACTTGTTTCAAATTTTCTAAAATCTCACCTTGGTTGTCTGAAATATTTCCAATTCTAAGAGCTTGAGGGAAAGGAACTCAAATTGGGACCTCCTTCTCAGTTTCTTCCAACAGGTCGTCTTCATGGCTATTTGGAGTAGCGTCCTTCAATTAAGGTGATTTTTGCAATGGCTTTATAACCTTACTAGTATGAGTTGTGATTGCATTGACCCTTTAATGTTCTCTGAATTAGAGGTAGATTCCTTACCAAATGTAAATTTTTAAGATTAGTTTGAGGTTGAGATGGAATCTTACCTCACTCTTGGACAATAAGAGCATTGGTCAACTTAGTTAGTTGACTCTTAATATCCTTGTTTTCTTTAACCACCTATGTAAGTATAAAATCAAACTTTTGGTTAGTCTTATTTTGTGCCGCCATAAATGCCTTAAGTGTTTCCTCTAAAGGATTCCTATTTGGTCGTGCATTGGATTGAGGTGTAGGGTAAGACTTGAGTGGTTGGGCTTCACTATTCCAAGTATTGCTAGATGATATGGGATGGTTCTGATTAGCTTTCCAACTAAAATTGGGATGGTTCCTCCAACTAGGATTGTATGTCTCTAAATAGGGTGAAAAAAATTCCCTACCCATTCCTAATGCATTACATTGTTCTTCATACACCCCTCTCATTTCACCATAAGTTGGACAATCCTAAGCTAAATGATCTAATCCCCCACAAACAAAACATGAAGCCTGAGCTTCTATCCTAGCAACTGTGTGGGTGGCTCTATTTTTCATTTTTAAAGTCTCAAGTTCCCTAGTTGCAACTTCTAATTGGGCTTTAAGTCTATCTTCCTCCCTAAGGTGGTAAATCCCAGATGAACATGACCTACTAGTACTATCAATGGCACTAGGTCCTGTCCAAGTGTGAGCTTTTTCAGCTAACTCATTTAAATAATCTATGGCTTCTTCTGGGTCTTTATGCAAAAACTCTCCATTTCACATCATCTCTATGAATTAACGCTCCCTACTAGTTAAACCCTCATAGAAATAACTAACCAACCTCCAAGTTTCATACCCATGATGTGGACACAAGTTTTGTAATTCTTTAAACCTCTCCCATGCTTGGTATAAGGTTTCACTATCCTTTTGAGAAAATGTAGAGATTTGTCTTTTAAAATTATTAGTTTTATGGTGCGGAAAGTACTTGTTAAAGAAAGCTTGAGTCATCTCTGCCCATGTACCTATAGATCTTGATCTCAAAGAATATAACCAAATTTTAGCTGTCTTTCAAGGAGAAGGGAAAGAATTTCAGCCTAATTGTATCATTGTGTCAGCTCGACTATGAAAAGTAGCTACAACCTCCTCAAACTCCCTAATATGCACATATGGATTTTCATTCTCTAAACCATGGAAACTAGGCAAAAGCTGAATCATTCCAGGTTTGAACTCAAAGTGTGGTGTATTAGGGGGAAACATTATGCATGATGGTGTAGCTGTTCTAGTGGGGTGCAAGTAGTCTTTCAAAGTCCTAATAGGTTGATACCCATCTTGACTCATGGTTTTAGAATTAAAGGATGAATTAGACTTGACTTTTTCTTTTTGAAAAGGTGGTGGATCTAATCTAATAAATCTCCCTTTTTCGTCTCTCGGTCTATTCATACACTCTAATCTACTTTTTTTTTTTTTTTTGAATGAAGAAAATAAAATAAATGCAAGAAAGTAAAATAAACTAAAGAAAAGAAAAGCAAATAAAATAAATAAAAGAAAAGTGAAGAATGTTCAAACTCTAATTGTCAATCTGGCTTCCTCGGCAATGATGCCAAATTTTGATGTCTTGCCCCAAAATTAATACCCTTCGGCTAAGTGGTTGTTGTAGCGTAACTTTAGGTGTCGAATTTACAGGGAAGCTATATTAAATAAAAAAAAAAGAGTTGTCACAATGAGAAGTTAAATTAAAAGATGAATTCTAAAATTAAGAATAAAAATATTTAAATAAAAGATGATAATTTATAAAAGATTGAAAATAGTATTAAGATGAACAAGACTTTAAGGTTCACTTAATTGATTTGTTTAACTGTTATAAATTTTGATTCCTATTTATTACTTAATTGCATGTTTTACATCAAAAACAAACAATCGGAAGATTTAACTATGAAGATCAATAATAATAACTAATGTATTTATGTTGAGAGATATTAATTTCAATGAAGAACAAACTAATTTATCATTATGAGCTATCCGAGAGTGACAATATATCTAATCGACAATACTACAGTAAAGGATCAACCTGCAAAACAAATCTATAATCAATTATATTCTAATAAATTACACATAAAAAGAGCATGACTAATATTATATGAAATTTTATGAATATAATTTTTAGGGTTTTCAAATCTGAAAAATAATTAATAATCTCTCAAAAATAAAATTAAACAATAAAATCTATGAAGGAATCAAAATAAAATGACAAGTCAAACTCTTCAATGAAGGTCCACCCTAATCTTGCTGAAAGTTTAGTTGTCATTTGACATAATTCTCTAGCCTTGAAGAAGAAAATAGAAGCCTAGTAGCAGCCCCTCCAACCCTCAGAATAGCCTTTCCAGAGTAACTTGGATGGGTCTTTATAGGATCTTAGAAACCCTAAGGTTTAAGTACCATTTTGGTCCCTCAACTTTTCACTTTGGTATCAAAATTGTCCCTCAGCTTTAAAAAGTACCAAAATTATCCTTAAACTTTCATTTTCAGTACCAAAATGGTCCTTTCGTCAGTTAAATTAACAGCTGACACGTTAAAGGGACACATGGCACATTAAGTTGCTAGAGAATTATATTTTTTTTGAAAATAATAGTGATGTGGAAAAAACACACACAAATTGATGAGGTGGCACCTTTTTTTGTCTATGTGGCACTTTTAATTGTAATAAATAAATAAGAATTAATTATTATTAATTAATTAAAGTCAATTAACCTTTTCTTCCTTATTTTCCTATTCTTCTTCATCCTTCCCCTCTTTCTCTCTTTCGTTCCTAGGCTTGTTGTTCTTCACTCTTCCCCTCTATCTTTCTCTTTTGTCCTTGGGCCATCAATCCTTCGACATCTCTTCTCATTCTATTTCACCATTTTAGGTTTTTTTCTTTACAGTGAATCTGGGTTCTCCATCACCAGTGCTGGATTTTTTTCTTCCTCCTCTTCTCTCTCTCTCTCAATCCTTCGAAAATCAAACTTCTTCATTCCTTTCCCCACTCATCCTTTTTCTTTCTTCTTTTTCTTTTTTCTTCTTCTTCCTCTCCCAATCAAACCCAGATTTGGGTTTTTCTCAAACCCAGATCTAGGTTTTTCTCAAATCCAACTGTCCTACGAAATGGATAAACTTGGTGTGCAAGAGCCGCCACTCGCAAGACTCGCTGCACAAGCACATGGTGGATCTCGAAATGGATCTCGAAATGAATCTTCAGATGGTCTCTGAAGAGATTGCTGCCTCTCTCGAGGAGCAGAGCGCTTCCGCCCTTCTCCGTGTCCCTCGTGCCACCCGTGACGTCCTCCACCTCTGTGATGATGCCGTTTCCCTCCGCAATTTCATTGCTGGAATCCTTAACAAGCTCAAGAAGGTCTGTTGTTCTTATTATCTTTCCTTCTGTTAGAGATCTTATGTCAATTTTGTGTTGCTTGGATCTTGAGAAAGTGCAAGAGAGTTGAAATTCGTTTAACTCAGTAGTGTCTAAATTGGAAACCGAATAATGGAGATTTGGTTTCAAAACCTTTTAATTATTGGAAATGTGCTTAATGCAGCTGAATTTTGAAATTGAAGGCGGAAGGCTACTCAACGGAATCTAAGTTGTTAATGCATGGTTCTCTGGTTTACATCTATTGAACAGGATGCTGCAGGGTTAACACAATGGAGATCTGAGTTTTAGATCTGGGTTCCAGCCATGTGCAGGATGAAAGAGGAGAAGAAAAACCCAGATCTGGGTTTGATTTGGAAAGGAAGAAGGGAGAAGAGAGAGAACAAGAATAAAAAGGAAAAATATGAATTTTTTTTTTAAATTTGAAAAATGGTGAAACAATAATAAAAAATATCAAATTTTTTTACCTAAAATTTACACGTCATTCAAATTAAGTTGTCCAATGATGTTGTGGCATTTAACGTGCCAGCTACCCATTTAACCTATCATCTATTCATTTAATGTGCCATGTGTCTCTTTAACGTGCCAGCTATTAATTTAACTGACGGAAGGACTATTTTGGTACCGAAAATGAAAGTTTAAGGATAATTTTGGTACTTTTTAAAGCTGAGGGACAATTTTGGTACCAAAGTGAAAAGTTGAGGGACCAAAATTGTACTTAAATCAAATCCTAATTATAATGGTTGTGGGACCCACATCAAAATAATTAGGACAGATATGATTTGGTGAAAAATTGCGCAAGGGATCGACACCCTTAACAAAGTGTCGATACCTTCAATGAAGCGTTGACCAGAGACTATGTGTTGGGTTTTTGGCCTTTTGTGCAATTTTTGGTTAATGGCAGAATATCAATCTTGGTCCTTGACTGCCGGATTCCACGCGAGTTGATTGTCATATTTCTGATCTTTGCAATTTGCTCCTTGATCAAGAATTAAGAAAATCTCACTTGAGCTTTCAAACTTCTAAATTTGATCCTTGGACCCTCATCTTTTTGGCTCTTTATATTTGAGTCTTTTTCTTCTAATTCTCTCCATTCAGTTATCAAACCTTTAATCACCAAAAGTTTGCATAACATGAATAGAATGAACAATTATGAAATTACTTGTAGAAAAATACAATTCTTAAATCCATAATTGCACAAAATGGTTAAGCACACTTTAAATATACATTTTCATGCTTTCATCACAAGGAAGCTAGCTTGGACAGTTCATCAACTTGTAGATTATCTGTCCGTGGTATTTTGTCAATCTGAAATGAAGCGAAATTTATTTTTAATTGGTTAACCACAAAAGAATAACGAGCGAGTTGAGGATCTTTAACATCACAACTCCCATTAACTTGGTTCATGACAAGCTGAGAATCATTGAAGACCCTTATGTTTTGTACCTTTAGCTTGGATTCTAATTTTAGGCCATAAAATGAGTGCTTCACACTAGACAGCATTATTGGTTGCATGAAACTTTAACCTCAGAGCATGCTCTGTTTTGAAATCATTTGGGCCGACTAACACTACTCCAACTCCTGAACCTTTGATGTTTGTAGCTTCATCTACATATAAGGCCCATATAGGGTGTGAAGCTACGGCTTCCTCTGTAGCTATTGGATGGCACTCAACCAGGAAATTTACCAAAGCTTGGCCCTTTATAGTCATACTCGGTTCAAATTTGATGTCGTACTCACTGAGCTCGACAGCCTACCCAATCAGTCGACCAGAGAGCTCAGGCTTTAGTAATACCTTCCTCAATGGTAGGTCAATAAAAACAACGATCTGATGGGACTAAAAGTATGTCCTTAACTTTCAGGAGGCATAAACAAGAGCAAAGGCAGCTTTCTCTAAAATAGGATAATTTTGCTTTACACCCTCCAAAACTTTACTTGTATAACAAATGGATTTTTGTTGCTTGTTTTAGGACCAAGCTTACTGCCTCAACTACTATCCCCAAGTACATGTACAATGTTTCTCCATCAATGGGTTTGGAGAGAAGTGGAGGTAAAACCAAATATTTTTTAAGTTCCCTGAAAACTTATTGGCATTCCTCTGTCCACCGAAAATCCTTGGTCATTCGTAGCACTTTAAAGTAGGGAAAACATCTTTCCATCGACCTGGCAATGAACCTGTGCGAGGCTGCAAGACAACCTATCAAATGTTGCACTTTTTTAACTGTCTTAAGAGGTTCCATTTGCTTGACGGCCTGAATCTTGTTTGGGTTTGCCTCTATTCCTTGTTTAGAGACCACATACCCTAAGAATTTGCCTGATTCGACACCGAACGTGCACTTCAACGGGTTTAGCTTTATTTGTGCTTAACATAAGTTATAAAATGTTTCATCTAGGTCGTTGATGTGATCTTCTACTTGTAAACTCGTGACAATCATGTTGTCAACATATACTTCAATATTCCTACCAATCTGAAGCTTAAAAATGAGCTGAACTAACTTTTGATACGTAGCACTTGCATTCTTTAATCCGAATGGCATCATGACATAACAATAAATAGCATCCCCAGAATAAAATGCCATTTTTTCTTGGTCGTCTAGCCACAACTGGACCTGATGATATCTCGAGCTAGCATCCAAAAAGCTCATGCGTTCATGACCAATTGCTTGTTCTACCAACTTCTTGACATTGGGCAATGGGTGTGGGTCTTTGGGACGTGTGTCGTTTAAGTTTGTGAAGTTGATGCACATTCTCCACTTCCCATTAGGTTTTTTAACAAGCACTAGATTGGATACCCATTCCAAATATTCCACCATTATAATAAAACCTGTCTGCAACAACTTTTGTATTTGTTTGTCTATGGTAGCCTACTTTTTAGGACCAAAGAGGCGACATTTCTGAACGATTGGTTTCCTTGTAGGATTTGCGCTGAGCTTGTGAACTACAAATTCCATTGGAATTCTCGGTATTTCATCTATCATCCAAGTGAACACATCTTTGTTAGCCTTTGGCAACTCTAAGAGTTCTTTCCTCTCATTAGTTGTGAGTTTGGTTCCAATTTTCACAGTTTTTTTTTACTTGTTTGGATCTAAAGGAGTTGTTTCCACAGGTTCTACCAGCTTGGCTTTTTGTCCCACATTTTTCGGGTTTGTGATCTATGTTAAAGATACTCATCATTTGTTGACTTGGGTGGCATAGCTGGGGAATCCGGGAAGAAGAAGCTTTGGGTGTTGTAATGAGCTTGACCTTCTTGAATGTGTCCTGGTAGCAGGTTTTAGCCATTTTTTGGTTCCCTTTTAGTGCTCCTATTCTAGGGGGCCTTGGGAATTTCATGCACAGATGTGGTTGAGAGATGACAGCCTTTAGCTCACACAACATAGCTCTCCCAATTATAGTGTTAAAGGCTGATTCCATCTTGACCACCAGGAAATTCATTAACGCCATCCAATATTGAGGTTCATTGCCCACATAGATGGGGAGGGTCACCACCCCTTCAACTAGAACGGGTTGATTATCAAACCCATATATGGGTCCTTTGTACTTTTTCAAAGAAGTCAGGTTCAATTGCATTTTCTGAAAACTCCGATATATAATATCTAGGGAACTGCTAGTATCTATGAAGACCTTATTGACATTGTGATTACCTATGTGGACAATGGCTATAAATGGATCAGCATGGGGCATGATAATGTTGGGTTCTCCCTTTGGTCTTTTATAATTCGAAGGACTAAATGTGATTCATGCATTCTCCTACTCTGCCTCTTTGAATGGTCATTTTAAAGGTTTGTTCTTGTTCACAATCATTACTTGACGAGCGTAGGCTTTACAACTGCGAGCGCTCTGCCCCCTTACATGTATTCCGCTAAAGATCATATTTACTATGCCCGTGGGTGGAGAAATTCCAACATAACCTATCCCCTTGTTGTTTTTTTGGTTTTGGGCAACGGTCTTCTGTCCTTGTCTTCTTTTATTAGGCTGACATCCTCTATATCCCTTGCCAAGCTTAGAAGGGAATTGACTTCGTTGATACATGTTTTGCTTACTACTTGCTTGATATCCTTGCCCATGGGATCGGTTGTAGTCTTGCACGCAATGAGTTTGGCTAAGTTGTTGAGGAAAAGATTTCTGGATGGGGTCTACAAGTTTTCCATTCCAAGCTAAAAATTCCAACTCGTCCTTCAAGTTTTAACAGTTGTCTATATGATGGCTATATCCATGATGATAGTCATAGTATTTGTTTATGTCCGTTTGTGTTGAATCATAAGGAGGATGAGGTGGTCTTTTGACCCAATGTTGGATCTATGCCAAGATTTGAGACCTCAATGAGCTCAAAGGGATATAGTTTGCATATTTTGGAAAACCAGCTAGTTTTCCTCTTTGATGAGTAACTTTCTGCCTTTTCTTTTCTTCCCTTCCCTTCCCTTCCCTCTTGTCTTTGATCTTTTATTTGCTTATCATCAGCTCACCTTTTGGACAATTGAAAGTCTTCCGACAAAATGCAACTTGTTGATCTATCATTCACCTCATTCCATAATTTTGGTGAATTTTCCAACAAATCATCTAAAAACCGACTAGGTTTAAGGCCATGTAGCAAGGCGGACAAGCAAATTGTACCAAGTACATTATCAATGTCTAAGGTGGCCTTGTTAAATGCTACATGTAATCTCTTAATGATTCTCCTTCTTTTTGGTGTACTTGCATCAGCTCAGTGGCTATGCACTTTATTTCTCGTTGGCTTGCAAACTTGTTGGAAAACAAAGTAACAAGCTGAGGATAAGAGGTGATGGAATGCCTGGGGAGTTTGTGGTACCAACTTCTAACAATTGATTTTTAAGTCACCGGGAATACATTGCACATCATGGCATTCGTTGTGTTTTGTATCTTCATGATGGCCTGGTAATTATGCAAATGTTCATCTAGGTCATTAGAGCCATCATACGTTTCTAAATGGGGAATCTTGAACCCTTCTTGATAAGGCTCTGTAGTGATGGGTTGGCTAAGAAAAGGGCTATCTAGGTCGGGGGCTTGTTGACATGACTTGGGCTTTTTAGCTCGTCAACGAACTTTTGTATTCCTTCGAGCTGCTTTTCGAGCTCAATATTCTTCTTTAACAATTCTTCATTGAGCTTTGACGAGTTAGGTTCGAGGTTCAACTTCCCACTTCCTTTGGGTTTTGTTGGTACCACAAAACATTGCTTAAAGTAGGAGAATTATAGGCAAAATCTCTTATGGGTTGTCCAACTCTATTCAACAGGTGAATTAAAGGTCATCAGGAATCAAGCGGGAAAGGATTCCTCCCATGGCCATTTCTAAAACTATAGTTCTTTCTTTTTAGCTCAGATGCTCGAGCTAATTCTAAAGGTTTACTAGGCCGTGGCACATTATGGACGGGCTATCTCTGCGTGTGCTT